AATTATACTAATAAGCAGCTGCAATAGCTTTAAACTAAATTAATATTATTAAATTGTATTTAGACGCATACAAAATCTAAGGTCTATACTAGTTGATATACAGTGAAAACTTTCTATAATTCAACAATGAGGATTGATGTGATTTCTATTTGCTAGGTGAAGCTTATGATCTAGGTGTTATTTGAGTCCTTTAGGAGACCACCAATTAATATGCGATCGGAAGATGCAGAGACTGCGACGTCAATGTCGATGCATATGGTCTCTTTTTGTGATTTTTTTTCCTATTGGGTTTCTATAATGTAATATTCAAATTGTAAGACTAGAACTGTCTGCACGTTAAGTACGTACATGTTATAATTTAAGGGTAAACTATGTAAATGGTCACTAATTTTTTATTAAATATTTTTATTGAAGTTTCAAAAATAACAAATTAATCACTCGTCGTTAATTAAAAACTTACTTAGCCTGTTAATCGCTGATGTGGCAATCTTTTTGTCTGCTTTTTTTCATCTAGCTTTCTCTTCCTTAAGTCTCCATCTCAGATCTTTCTTTTATGCTAGTCTACTACACGCCATGCTCCGTCTCTCCCTTCTACAACACCGTCTCCACCATCTAGGTAATAAAGTTTTGACAGTGAGTATTGGATTTTTCTCTCTGAGCACTGAATCTCAAAAAGACGTGCTCTCTCAGGATTTCAAAGTTACATAGGTGGCTAGGAATAAAAAATGAAAGAAAAAAAATTGGTCGTGTCTTTGCAGATTGCATCTGTAGAAAGATGAGGATGGCTTCAGTTGCCAAGCTTTTTGTCATCGGACATTCGAATTAGCGGTTACTCGTAAAGGCATGACGGAAAACATTGTCAATCTCATATTTGCCACACAAAACACAACTAGTTCGGTTCTCACCTGGTACTTTTATAGTTTCTCCAAGCATCCTTGCATTGAAGCTAAAATCAGAGATGAAACATCTGAAAGTAGCCCGCAAGAACTGAATAAATTACTTATGGAAGAATTGTACTGCATAAAATATATATTATATAAAGGATTAATTCATTATAATGATGTATGCAGTTCCATAATAATAAGGAAAGCAAATATGCATACGCGCTCCATGATACATACATACCTGTTGGCTGCTGATAATCTGATGCAACAACCGGTGATGCTGATACATTGCTTGGTATACGCTTAGACAGCAGGTCTACGGTAGGAAATTGTGGGAGGTTGAGGACTACCTTTTTAACTTTTCTAGTTCGTTGTCTAGATTTGTTTGATGCAAACGCATATAATAATTAATGAGTAATTACAAGTATCATACTTGAGAATAAACTAAAGTATTGAAGATTAACTCACTGAAGAATGCCCAGCTCCATACATGTTTCGTACTGTAAAGTGAGAAAGAGCAAAAGTAGTTTCTTTCTCTTATTGACGTGCGTTTACTACGGTCCATCTCTTCAAAGCACGTTTAGATTCAAAGCACGTTTAGATTCCTTGTAATGGCAAAAATTCCAAGTTAGTAATTCGGGTCAACCCGAGACCCATAAATTGAACCAAAGGACCCATTAGAATGGTTGGACTTAATTAAGTTGAGAGTGGGCTTGAGTTGGGCCCAAGGGTTAGTGGTGATTTAGTTGATTTTAGAAGCAGAGGGACTAAAAGAGCAAATTACCCATTTTTATTTCAAAAGTTGAAAACCTCTTCGTTATTATATGTTTTACTTGAACCACACTCCCTAAAAATCTCACCAAACCCTCATCCTTTCATCTCATCTTTCTCATCTTCTCCTTCCTCCTTCTAGTGAAGATTTCAAGCTTAGTTGAGTTTAGTTAAGGTAAGCATGATAATCTACAATATAAGAGCTTTAATTTAAGCCTCATTTCTCAAGTTTTACACTTAGTTTCCAAAAATGGGTTTTTGGGGTGTTTAAGAGAATTTATGGATTCTAAGTTGTTTTTTATATATTCAAGTTCTTGGAAGTGTCATTATCTTTAATCTAACCACCTAGTAAGTTTAGTAATTCATTTTCTTACTTTTGATTAGTGAAAGCTCAAGAGCAAAGGGAAAAAGAGAAATTGTCGCTTGAGTGATTTGAGGGCTTTTCTAGCAACCAAAGAAGCAAGGAAATACACTCACAACTTCCTTGTACAATTTGTGAGTCATTTAAAGTGTTTTATAGCTATAAAGTTGAGTTGAGTCATGATGAGTTATTTTTATGGTAGATTACATGATTTAGAGTTATAACATGTTTTAAAGTCTTATTTATGACCCTCTATGATCACATAAGACATTAATAATAATTGGGAACCTCAAAATAGCAAAGTGGGCGAGTTTGAGTGTAAAATTTGATCATAAGTAAGGCCATTTTGAGCAAGAGGTATCGTTACTATAAGAATAATGTAACATCCCGAAATCCGGGTCAGTGACTAAAATAAATTTTTTTGAAATTTGGATATCAATTTAGGAAAAATTGGAAGGTTTAAGGATTTTAATAAGAATATTTCAATATTGGATAAAGGGTAAATATGAAATGATTATAAGGTTATATTGGTAATTTGGCTTGGAGGATATTTTTATCTCCCTTATTTAGGAAGATAACACGTGGGGATGGGGAGAGTTTTCTGGAAAGCTTATTTCTTCTTCTTCCTTCTTCACGTTGGCTTCCATTGTTAAAGGTAAGTTTGATTTTAGTTGTTGATTTCTTGAATATTAAGTAGGTTTTGATTATTGGGTGTTATATAAGCTTAAGTAAAGCTTATATAAGCTTAAAACACCAAGAGGAGAGAATTAGAAAGGAATTTCTATTAAGAGTTTAGAAATGAACTTTTGTTATAGAAAGGTTTTTGAAGTTCTAAGGATGGATTTGACTTGTCAAAGGGTTAATTAAGAAGTTAGAGGTGATAGAATTGAATTAAGAACACATGAAAAATTTGATGAAATTCTTTGATTCAAGAATTATGGTGAATTATGAGAGATGGTGAAGTGTTATAGTGTTATAAGAAGGTTTACGTATGTATAGATAAGTTTTAAGGCATAAGGAGGGGTTAATAAGTAAAATTTGAGGACAAAGTAAGAATTTCGGGCTCAAAATGTAATTTCTGGGTTGTGTGCATCGATGCATCTTCAATGTGTATCGATGCACTCTCAAATAAATAAACATCGAATGCAATTAGTGCATCAATTCATAAGGAGTACATCGATGCACCCCCTTAAGATTAAAACATCGAAGGTGATTTGTGTATCGATGCATGGATAGTGCATCGATGCACATGTTAAGGGATACATCGATACACTATAGAATGTACCGATGCACTTCAATGGGAAATGGAATAAATCTTTCTTTCAGTCTAAGAAGTGATAGATTATAGTATATCAATTGGATACTGATAGTATAAATATATGATTGTGTAGACATCGATCGGAAGCAAAGTTCAGATAGGTGGTCAGAGTTAGATACGCAAGAAAATGCAAGAGCTTGGTAGTGTTATTGGAAACCAGGTGAGTACATGATATTAAATGTATGTTATGTATAGGGAATTAAGACTTGCGATGAGTTTAATTCCGTTATTATGTGATTAGGGGTACTGAAGCATAAACATGTAGTGATATGGTACTAAATGTATTGTATATGAGTAAATGCATATGTTTAATTGATTAAATGAATCTTTATATGTGAACTATGTAAATGTATGTATGTGTGATAATAGGTTATGTGATTCCATGAGATGAAATATAAGTGAAAATGATATGACTTATATGTGTTATACTATAATGTTACATGATATGCTATGTATGCTAAATAAGTGATGTGAATACATGTTAATGTAATAAGCTAGGTTAACTTTTATAACTGAATGAAGGGATTGCATGAGAATATGTATATGCAAACATGTGTTATGAGATAAGAATCATGACTATGAGCTATGTGAAAAAGAATACAAGTAAAGGTGAAAAACTATGTGATAAGTGAATGTGAATTACATGGAAATATTATATGTGAAAGTGAACTATGTGCCTACGTGAATATGTGAAAAGATATAAAAGGTAATGCCTATGTCATGTGTTCTGAGAGCTAGGTATAGTTGGCATGCCAAGAGTCGAGATTCAGTGGTCCTTCGGGACAGAGTGGTCCTTCGGGACATAGTGGTCCTACGGGACAAATTTCTATGCGCCCCTAGTGGGATTTATACGAGCTGTGGTCACAGCATTGTGCACAACTTCTATGTACTCACATACCTTAAGTTCTCAATAGTGTGCATGGGCTTTGAAAAGAAAACATAATTTGATATAATGATAGTGTTTCTCGTGAAATGATACATGTGATACGTGATATGTATAAGCGATAAGTTAGGATCATATGATAATAAGAGTAACAAGTACATATATGTAATGGTGATATGAGATGTTATATGGTTATGTATGATATGATCATAGTGATTATTCATGTATTGTTGTGTTTTGAAGTTATATTATATGTTTATGTTGAATATATGCTCATATGATGAAATTGAATTAATGACAAGGAAATAAGTAAGGATAAACATATAAGTGATGGGTTCAATAGGTATATAAGTATAATGTGTATTATATAAGATGTTCATGCGTTTGTTAGTTTAATTTATGCATTTACATGTCTCACTAAGTATATGGCTTAGCGTGTAAGTGTCATACACGTAGGTGTGGTTAAGCCAGAAGATCAAGCTTCTGACCCGTAAAGCAACATATCTCCGCGCAAAGTTTAGATCAGAAATATTTTGTAAAGTATGTCTTGTCATATAATTTAATATGTTGGCATGTAACTAAGTCATTAAATATGTACGCTCTGATGGAGTCTGTTAAGGTTTTAAACATATTTATGTAAATGAACTACTTTATAGAATAGAAGTTTTAAATTTTTTATGGTTTTTATAAAAGTATATGCTTTGACTGGTCAATGTGATACTTTGGACTCGTATCCGGGTCGGGTACGGGTTGGGGGTGTTACAAATAATACCAATATTATTCTTCCATCAGTGTAATATTTCTTAAGTTATAGAGGGAGTATCGATACTCAGAGAGTAAGTATCGGTACTGGGGCATTTTGAAAACATTGAAGTCAAATTTGGTATCGATACCCTGGTTAGTATCGGTACCTGAGTTTTGAAGTATTAATACTATTATAGGGTATTGATACTATCATTTCCTTATCAGTTGAAAATAAAGTAGAGTATTGATACCTAAGAGAGGTATTGATACCTAAGAGAGGTATCGATACTAAGGGATACTGATAGGGCCAGTATCCCCTCGTATATTTTTTGACATAAATTTTTAGGGGATTGTAAAAATGAAATGAGATTCCCAAAAATCTATAATTACTCTCAAATAAGACTACAAATGAAAACAATCATAATGCTAAATTACACTTAGAAATGAGATCAGTTAGGGTGATATAAAACTTTCATTGATTTATGCTCAGGAAACGATCAGAACACCCTAGTTCCTTTAGTAAAGATAACAATGTCGATGTATAGAATCGGTTTGAATATCATTAGGTAGTGCGCGAGGCACTTTAAACTGACTAAAGGTCTGACACCCGCAAATGGTGGGTTAGTCGAAGTGTTGTATCGATGTAGAGATTACGAGCTACATACTTCGTAGATTAGAGGGGTGTATGAGCTTCAAGATACAGAACCCTCAACCGCACCATGATGTCTACCATAGAGTAGAGAGTGAGTATACAAGTATACTCACTGATGCATGAGATCTGATAGCTTGAGCTTTTATCTGATGCACTTTTAGTATGCTTTAGTTGTTAGTGTGACATTGGGCTAGGTAGCTCAGTGTTTGGAATTTGTTTCCTTATACAGATTAGTAGAGGAGCAGTTGAAGAGCCTTTTGTTCAGCCTTGATCCAGACCAAGAATCATAGCATAATACGTCTCTAGTTCTTCTTTAGAGGGCATGTATTTTGTAAACATTGTTTTGTATATTCGAGTCGTAACTTATTTTCAATAATGGTCTGTATTTTGAGATTTATTTATTTTAGGGAGCTCCTAATGTAAACCATTTTATTTAAATTGTGATTGATTTATTATATCATGAGTATTACAAATGATTATTTTAAATTGAGTAAGTAAAGAAAATTTTTTGTTAGCCACTTTGGTGGTTTCGTCTAGCATTCTAATGGTCAACTACGTGTCGTATATGTTTAAAGTGTTACATTCCTAGCCTCCTATGTAGCTTCAAAAGCTTGGGAGATAACTTCTTTTCGAGATTGGTGCTCATAGAGAAAAATCGAATACTCATTGTCAAAACTTTATTACCCAGATGGTGGGATAGGGTGTAGAAAGATGAGACGGTGCATGGCGAGTAATAGACTACAGAAAAGAAAGATTTGAGATGGAGATTTAAGGAAGAGAAACTAGATGAAACAAAGTAGACAAAAAGGTTGCCACGTCAGTGATTAACGAGCCAGGTAAGTTTTTCATCACCAAAGTCAATGAACATTAATCGACGAATGATCTATTTATTATAAACTGATAATATTAATGATCAATTTATTACTTTTGAAATTTTAGAGGAGAAAATAAAAACTTACATAAACATTAATGACCATGTAACGTAGTTTATCCATAACTTAATGTACACGATTTAAAAACATTTGACGCTATATTTGAATTTATATTTAACGTTTACACACTAATAGGAGAGAGAGAGAGAAAATTTATTGATGTAATATAATATTTTAAAAGTTTAATTACAATTATTTAAAATATAAATATTATTTAAAGTTTTGACGCACTTACTTTTTTTCCTGTCAAAAGACGCATTAATGTTTAAAGAAATAAAGAGTGTAACAGTGGGGAAAACCTAGAAAGGGAAAATGACAAATAAAAACATAAAATCTGAAAAAGACAATCTTTTAATTTGCAATTTTGGTGCGTTTCTCAATGACTGTTCTGTAAGAATGAATTGGAGCACGGAAAACTAAACAGAGAAACGAACACCCACACAAATTTTGGCGAATTTTCCGAAAAATCACCTTAATATTTTTTTATTCTATGTCAGACATCGTTCTGACTTAATTTTTTAATTTAACACTTTTTGTAGAAAGACGCATCTTATGTCTCGCCTTACGCCACGTGTCGGTAAGGCGCACTCCTGAAGTTCGTCTTGTGAAATGTGTAAAAATTCGATTGTTAATTTTTAAATACTTTTGAAATAGTACCTAATATGTAATTACTTTTTAGGGTGATATTTGTATAAAAACGTCAACTTTATTTATTATTCTTTTGTAAATTATTTTATAACTCGATAAATTTTAATCTCTACATAAATTACACAATACATATAATCTAATATAGGAAACTTTAAGGGTAAGTATTTTAAAATATAAATAATTTTATAAAGTTTTATAACTAGTATTTCTTTTTCAAGATGATGATGATGATGATAAATATTTTATAATTTAAAAAATTATAAATTTTATATATTTTTGAAAAAAAATTGACTTTTAATTCTTTTTTATTGTCTTTTTATTGATTTTTAAAAAAGTGAATAATAATTCATTTGATCTATCAATTTTAATTAAAAGTTTATTTTAATATTTTAATATTTTTAAACATTAATATTAAAAGTCATAATATTATTGTTAGAAAATAATATCACACAAAAATAATCATAAAGTTGACGTTTTCTTGAATTTTATTCACATTTAATTCTTTTTTATTGTATTTTTATTGATTTTAAAAAAAGTTAATAATAATTCATTTGATCTATCAATTGTAATTAAAAGTATAAAAATACAATAAAAAAGATTAAAAGTGAATAAAATTCAATACAAAAAGAATATAATTTTTTTCAAAAATATATAAATTTATAATTTTTTAAATTATAAAATATTTATTATCATCATCATAATATTAAAAAAGAAATACTAGTTATAAAACTTTTATAAATTATCATATTTTAAATACTTACCTCAAAGTTTTTTCCTATACTAGATTATACTTATTATTTAATTTTATGCAAAAATCAAAATTTATCGAGTTATAAATAACTTGTAAAAGAATATTTAAAGATTTAAATGTAGAAAAAAAAATCACACATAAAAAATAATTAAATAAATAAAGTTGACGTTTTTACGTAAATATTACTCTAAAAAATTAATTACATATTAGGCATCATTTTAAAAATATTTACAAAAGTAGCACCTATGTTTTTTACACATTTCACAAGGTGCGCTTCATGGGGCGCAACTTACCCCACGTGACGCTATATCAGCATAAGGCGTGCCTCTGAAATGCGCCTTTCCACAAAAAATATTAGATCAAAAAATAAAGTCTGAACGGTGTCTGACATAAATAAAAAAGGTTAAGGTGATTTTTCGAAAAATTCACCGCAAATTTTTTTCCCTACAAAAAAAGCCATCCCTAAAAAGTTTTTTTTTTAATTTAAAAAACAAACAAATAAAGCCCGGACAGACCCTCATTTTGCTCTATTGTATGTTTTTGGGTCAATTTCAACCATTTCTCTCTTTGGGTCCCTCTACAAAAACAAGCACTTTCAAGTCCACCATCTGTAACTCTGACCACTCTCGCACTGAATCTTCCATTGTTTCTACAAAAAATTTATTTACTTTATTATTTTTGAAATTATTCGGGGGTTAAAGATGAGTTCAAGCTCGGATTTGGTGAGTTTTATTGAATCGGTATTGGGAGTGTCGTTTGGCGATTCGGTAACGAATTTTATTATAGTGATCGCCACGACGTCGTTAGCGGAGATTCTGGGGCCTTGACGTTTCTTTGGAAAAAAATCAGCTTCTGAACGGAGTCGTGATTTGAAACCGTTGGTAGCTACTAAGCCTGTTTTTCACTCAAGGATGATGAAGATGATGGCGCCGCTATCGCTACTACCAAAACTAAAGTTACCGTTTTCTACAGTACCCAGACGGGAACGGCAGAGGGATTTGCTAAGGTAAATGAATTTTGCAACTGCAAAGTTCTGATTTTGATTGTCGTGTATGGTGATGGATTGATTTTTAAAATGCAAGACTTTTTGGCTGTTGACTACTTGAGTGGACTGATGCCTTTTTGTTGATTGAAAATCGAAGATAACTGATGTCAATACTGTTAATTAGCTTTAATTTTAAATTTTTAGTTACCTATTCGTTGTGGAACATTGGGTTGTTTTATAACACGTACAGATCTGGATAATGAAGTAGCTAAGAGATTATGAAAATGATTTCTTTCAAAGTTAATTTCTTATTAAGAAATTTAGGGGTAAAGCCAATATTTGAAGTTTATTGCCCCTCTTGTACGGTTTCAAACATTTTTGGGAATGTAACTGATTTTTTAGTTGTATCAAATTTATTATTCATAGGCAATTTACTGGAAGTATGGATTTACTAAGTTTTCGTGTCTGTAGCTTTCTGTCACTCAGAGCTTAAATAAATCGGGACTTGGCTATAGATAAAACATGTCATCGATAGTTCTTGATGGTATTGCTAATTGTCGCTAATTTGGCTACATGGGAGTGTTTTATTTTTCCCCTCCTTTTCTGTTAGTCGGTGTTACACTGGGCAACAAATCGATGTGTGCTTGGCACATTGTAATGAATCATTGGAAGAGTCGCCTGTTTTGATTTGAATGTTCTTTTTTTATGAGAATTTCGTAATTGCAGGCTTTAGCAGAAGATCAAGGCAAGATATGAGAAAGCAGCTGTCAAAGTTGTTGACCTGGTAATGTATACGGAACTATTTTGCTACTTCGTTTTCTTACTTGACAAAATGGTCTAGTAAATACTGTTACGTCCATTAAATTGTGTCTTTTCATGTTAGGTTGTTACGATGTGGATGATGAACAATATGGAGAGAAACTCAAAAAGGAGACTTTAGCCTTTTTCATGGTGGCCATGTAAGATATATTCTTTTTTCTACCGACGCTATTCTTGGTTTTTTTTGTTTTGGCATTATATTAAGTATGGGCCTTGGGGTATTTAATACAGTTGAGTATGATTGTAGTTATGGTGACGGGGAGCAAACCGATAACGCTGCGAGATTCTATAAATGGTTTACTGAGGTTGGTTGATACCAAAAAAGAACATTCAAATCTAAACTTTGTATTATGCCAACTTTGCCATTTTTTTATTTAACACTCGTAACTACACTATTTTATTATACTTAAGGGTGTTACATTTAATGGTATCAAAGCTAAGGTTTAGTCGATTATAGGCATAAACCTGAGTCTAGAGTGTCTTTAGATGTGTACATGCCAACATAGTAGTGATAACTTCTTATATGATAGTAATAAGTATGATGCTATGCTAATAGAGTTATTTGATTATATTTTATTAGATGTCCAGAAAAGATAGCTCTCGGTGAAGCGGGAGATGATAGATTAGCTGAGAGTATAATTCACCTGTCCTGGCTAGGCAAAGTGAAGTAC